CGAACTTTACTGCTTGGTGGGGGTGGGGGGAGGGAGGAATTAGGGAGGTGGGGAGGAAAGGGATGGGTGGGGGAAAAAAGGAGGGGATAACAATGCTCAAGAGGAAATGTACTCATTACCTTACTCATATAACTGTAACCCCTCTGTACAGTATCTTTACAATAAACAAAGAATAAAAAGATTCTCCTACTTATGTTTCCCACATAGCTGAGATGATAGGTGCTTACCACCACCCTCAACTTTTGTTGACATGGAGTTTCACAGAACTTTTAATCTGGAACTACAGTGCCCCCAGTCTGTGTCTCCTGAATGGCTATGATTTCAAGCACGAATCACCATGCTTGGCATGACGGCTTTCTTCAATTGGTATACTATCTTTCAGTTTCATTGATGTTGTGTATGTATCTTACTTCTTTTCCTTTTCATTGAGGACTCCTGTCTGTTATGCAAAATTTGTCTTATTTTTTTAACCACTTAATAGACCTTTGTTTTGTTTCTACTTTTGGGCTATGATGAATAATGCTAGATATATTTGTATGGAACTATTTGTGAAGACGTATGTTTTCATTTATCTTGGGTAGATACCATGACATCTTGAGTAGTTATTTCTAGATTTCTGCAAGGAATTCTGAGTTTTGAACTTTGTCATGGGTTACTGGTTACTAGGTGATGGAGTTACAGCTTGAACTTGGATTGTAAATCACTGAGATTTCCCATGGCGAGTCCTAATTCCTACCCTATAGAACTCAAGACAAGGGCTTAACACACAGCAAAGGAAGAACTAGAGGGCAAAGAGGTAGCCAGGGCAAGTCTTGTCTGCCGAGACAAGCCAATGAGCTAGCCTCACAGTGCCAAAGGCTGGACCAGATCCCGCTCTATGATTGGAAGAGCCCCAGCAGCCACAGAAATATTAGTGAGACAAATTGGTCCTTGATGACTTAAAAAAAAAAAAGAAAAGAAAAAAGCTGCTGCCTCCCACCAGAGGATTTAGAGGATAATTAGCTAGAACCTGGGGGAGTTGAAATGTCATCAACGGAAGTCAAATTCAAGTCAACAAACACTGAGTTGCTAGGCTGTGTGGGGGCTCCTATGAGCACTGAGATAAGACTCACCCATCTGGGGACTAGCAGCTGGGCCTGGTCTGTTGTCCTGGATCTTGGGGCAAGTTTGGAAAACTGTTCTTAGAGAAATAGATTGAGCTATAAGGGACAAAGGCAAACAAAATGACCTGTATTTCCAGGACAATGAACTTTCTTCACCTCACTGCCCCCTCCCTCACAGTTCCTGTCCTCTAACCTCCCTATGCTCCTGACTGCCCTCCAGCATTGTGAATGGTAACTTTCATTATCTAGGGCAAGTCTTGTCTGCCAGGGCAAGTCTTGTCTGCCGAGACAAGCCAAGCATCCTCTATGGCTATGTTAAGCAGGTTTCTCTGGTCCAAGATAAGGAGATTTAGAAAGGGCCCTGCAAATGCCCCATCCCAGAAATATCTAGCAATTTCTTGAGGGCCTTGGAAGTGAGGAAATACATTTGAAAATTTCTTTTTTTTTTTTTGGTCATGGAGCCTGAACTCTAGGCCTGGGCACTGTCCCTCAGCTCTTCAGCTCAAGGCTAGCGCTCTACCACTTGAGCCACACCACCATTTCCGGCTTTTTCTGCTTAAGGAATCGAACCCAGGACCTCATGCATACGAGGCAAACTCTACCACTGAGCCTCCTTCCCAGCCTGAAAAATTCTATTTTCAATTTTAATCCTGTCTTCAATTTCTCCCCCTGCCCCCCAGTTTTTCTGGGGGAGAGTTTGTAATGGGGCTTGAATTCAGGACCTTAAGCTCTCACTTGGCTTTGTCACTTGGCTTAAGACTGACATTTTATCACTTCTGGCTTCCTGTTCGTTCATTAGAGCTGAGTCTCTTGAACTTTTCTGCCTGGACTTCACACCATGATCTTCCTACCTCAGTCCCCTGAGTAGCTAGTATTCCAGGTGTGAGCCACAAGTTTCCAGCCATTTCTTCCTTTCTTTTAGATGAGGATTCTCTATGATATCTAAAATATACCTTATGACCCTTTAGGCCACCATGGATTATATATAAATTCTTCCATATAGCATATGTCCTGTCTCTCCAGTCTCAGCACCCTTGTCTGCATGACCCCACAAATCCTCCACCCTCCTGGAGCTGGGACGTAATTGTGCTCACTTATTTCCTCCTCTGAGTGTAAGTTCTGAGTGCCGTGAGGGTGGACCAGACCTTGCTCATTATGGAAACTGTAGATCTCTAAGTACAGTGGCTACAGGAAAGATGTTCTGTATAGTGGTGTGTCAAGAATGGGATTCATAGTAAAGGAGAAACATCTGCTCATTGCAATAAATAAATAAAGCAGAAACCCTTAGTTTTCCCACCCTACTCCATGAGAATAGAAGTTTCAACCAAGGGCCTAAAACCATTGTACAATGGTTGAGGATCTTTTCTCCTGTCTAATAAAATACTTTGCACAAGACTGACTTTTTTTTTTTTTTTGGGTCCGGTCGTGGGGCCTGAACTCTGGGCCTGGGCGCTGTCCCTCAGCTCTTCAGCTCAAGGCTAGCTCTCTAGCCCTTGAGCCACAGGGCCACTTCCGGCTTTTTTCTTTTTGCTTATGTGGTGCTGAGGAATAGAACCCAGGGCCTCATGCATGCAAGGCAAGCGCTCTACCACTGAGCCACCTTCCCAGCCCCAACTTTTTTTTTTTTGGTCAGCCGTGGGGCTTGAACTCTGGGCTTGGGCGCTGTCCCTGCACTTTTCAGCTCAAGGTGAGTGCTCTACTGCTTGAGCCACAGCAGCACTTCTGGTTTTCTAGTGGGTAATTGGAGATAAGAGTCTCATGGACTTTCCTGCCCGGGCTGGCTTTGAACCATGATCCTCAGATCTCAGCCTCCTGAGTATCAAGGATTACAGGCATGAGCCACCGGCACCTGGCAAAACTGACTTTTTAAAGGTATGTGACATAAAGTCCCAAAGTCTTAGTTAAATAGATCAAAATGAACAAAGAGTTTATGCTTTAAGGGGATGTCAACTGTCATATAAGATATAATAAGATTGATCGAATGCTTACTGGGTGTCAAGTATAAACCTAAATGATTGACATGCATCAACTTGATTCTAAAAACAACGTAATGAAAGAGTTAACTGGTCATTCCAGGTGTGTGTGTGTGTGTGTGTGTGTGTGTGTGTGTGTGTTTCCTGGGGCTTGAATTCAGGGCATGGGCATTACCCCTTAGCTTTTTCACTGATAATGGTAGTACTCTACCACTTTATCTACACTTCCAGATTTTTGGTGGTTAATTGGAAATAAGAATCTCTCACAGACTTTCCTGCCTGGATTGGCTTCAAACTGCTATCCTCAGATCTTAGCCTCCTGAGCAGCTATGATTACAGATGTAAGCCACTAATGCCAGACTTTTCCTTTCCTTCCTTTTCCTTTCCTTTCTTTTTCTTCCTTCCTTTTTCTTTCTGTTCTTTCTTTTCTTTTTCCTTCTTTCAAAGCCAGCCTGTGCAGAAAAGTCCATGAGACTCTTATTTCCAATTAACCAGTAAAAAGCTGGGAGTAGAGGTGTGGCTCAAGTGGGAAAGCACCAGCATTGAGCCCCAAGCAAGAGTGTGAGGTCTTGAGTTCAAGCCCCTGTACCCACTTGTGTGTATACACACACACACACACACACACACACACTGACACTCTTGGATGACTCAAGCTTTAGTTCACCAGTGGAGTCCACATTCCCCTGACTACTTGTCTGGTTAGTACTTAACAGAGTAAGCGGCTTGGCAAACCACAGCTGCCCTATCAGTCCGTGTCAATTGAATAGGAAGCACCTGTGAACCGGCTAGTTTGCTTAGGCCGTCTGGTGAGGGGAGGGCAACTCTGTCCCCTGTGGCCTTGTTCTACTGAGTACTGACTGCCACACCCACACCCTCCTGTCTCAGGTGAGGCATATTGAGAAAAAAAAAAGAACCCTTAGCTTCCCAAAGCCCAGTGCCTGGCTTTGCAGGCAGTAGGGTGGCCACAAATATTTATGATGTGTGACTGTAGCATTTCATTTCAAGTGGGCCACAGTGGCTCTAGTTCCACCGGGGCAAAAGGCACAAGCGGGTGTCTGCCAGCCCTTCAGAGAAGCGAACCAACAGCCCCAAGCGCTCCCGTCCAGACACAAAGAGTGTTTCCAAAACCCCAGCGGAAGACATGCTGCTGTGCCTTGACCACGATGACCATGTCTACTACCCCGCTCCTCTGCTTAGATGACCTCTCCCACTGACCTTTCCTCTTCTAGATGTGAGGCTGAAAGGTGAACGGGAAGGAGGGAAGCCTCCCCTCCGTGCAGACCCGGGCGGTACGGGCACCTCGGGGAGGGGTCCTGTCAGGGGCCGGGGCCCGGCGGGGCGCGCAGGAGCGGGGGGCGCGCGGTGGCTGTGCGCGGGGATGCGCGCGCGCGCGCCGGCCTCGCCTCCCTCGCCCGCCCGCTCCGGTGCTACGTGCTTCCTTTGTCAATGAGGCGCCGCTCCGAGCTGCAGTAGCCTTCGCGGCCTCGAGAGCCCGAGCCCGAGCCGGCGATCGAGCGAGCTAAGGGAGGAGAGAGCCCCGGGCGGAGAGGTAGCAGGCGGTGGCGGGCGGCGGCAGGGACCCGAGCGCGCCCCCCGGCCGGCTCGCAGCCGCCGATCCCG